TGTCTAGGAGCTTGTTTCAGGCCATACAAGCTCTTCTTCAGTCTACAAACTGAACCTTCCTTTCCCTGCACTACAAACCCCTCAGCTCGACCGGCCAGTTGTGGCTCGGTGTCCAGTATAGTCAGGCTCCACACAACTCAACTGGTGAAACATTTGTAATTCATTAATAGATTGGCTTAAACATTACAAGATATGTTTAATAGTTGTTTTGAAAGAGTCATGAACACTTTCTCATTTCCGATTCAAATGTTTTCCAAATTCTATATAATATACGTTCTAAAATTTGAAAGGACATCTCCTTTCACATTTAACAAAATTGAGGACTCAAAGGTGATTTAATGGGACAACAAAGGCATGGTAATTATAGTTGGAATTTGACTTTTCAGATTCTTATGTTGCTTCTTATACCTACAAACGAAATCTTAGAATTAAGAAGAAAATCTTTGGTGATGTTTCCCCTTCGTTTCCACTCTATTTCTATGATAATTTAACCCCATAAAATAATGCCCCTTCATACTTGGCAACTCCATCATATCCCAAATGGTTATTTTCCAAGATTCTTTTACATGCACCTAATCAATATAATTATTCATATTCTAGATGGAAGAAGAAACAAAATGCCTTTTTCTACCCATATATATTTCATACATATACAATCATGCTACATTTACAATGACAATGATGGTTTACAAGATTGGTTTACAGTCATGATTTGGCATTTTTATATTCATTTATTTCAAAAAATTTAAAAACTATTTTTAAATCAACTGCCCAGATTTTACCACATAAAAAATTGTCAACCATCATTATGCAAGTAAATTAATTCTATATATATTACAAGCTTTTACATGTTGATTAGTCTTTCTGATGAATTGTCAAATCTGAACCACAAACTCCAATGGACCACAAGATTTAAGAAATTGTGAGTAGCTTGAGAATATTTGGTATATACACAAGTATGTTAGGAAAGTATTTATAAATATTTCAGCCATATTATCCAATTCAATTGCAAAAAAATAAAAATAAAAAAAATCAACAGTAGATCATAAGTTTTATAATGAATATCCACCTAATAAACCCTTTAACTGGATGTAAAAAACACAGGACTTTCTTTAGAGAGAAAGTTTTGCAAAAAATTTGTACGGGATTAACTAGGGACCCTTTGGTATCTATATGTAGACAACCACTACACAATTTTAGTAAAATTCAATAAAAAATGATCAAATGTATAATGGAAAAGTTATGGATTTCATAAAATTTGTGATTAAAATTAATTATTGAGATATTAATTTGATTTTAATCCAAACAAAACTTGGCCTGTATATCCAAATTTTTATACATGCACAAGAAAGTCGTGAAGTTTTGGAAAAAAAAGCGATCTTTCCTTTTAACTCGTATCTTTAGTAATAAATTGTTGTTCAATATGTCAAGGTTTCACACGTGCTACAGTACATGTCCAAGATTCACAAATCCACATTTCCATGCAAATTTCTCTCTATATATATGGCACCTTCATTCATAAGATTATATCATACAGTCATACCTTTCTTAAGTTTCAATCTCCATTTTCTCTCTCTAAATATGGCTAGTCCTTGTCTAATTCCTGCACACTTTATTGTCTTCTTCATCGTAAGTCGTTTAATGTCCATTATAAGGAAGTTAAGGCGATCAAACAATTCACTTGATTCTGAAATTGACTCCCCAGTTGTCGGTTCTAAGCTTCGCTACGATCTTGAAGCCATTGGACTTGCCTCGACCGACTATGGTAATATTGTTCAAGAAATTCCTTCCGCAGTTCTTTATCCAACATCCATAGACGATATTATTGAGCTTATCAAACTCTCTAACAAATGTCCACTCCCATTTACCGTGGCGGCAAGGCCATGGACATTCTGTGAGAGGACAGGCCATGGCACATTATGGGGTAGTGGTGANTCTCTAACAAATGTCCACTCCCATTTAACGTGGCGGCACAAGGCCATGGACATTCTGTGAGAGGACAGGCCATGGCACATAATGGGGTAGTGGTGAAGATGCTTTCTTTAAAGAAGTACTACAAAAATGGGAATGGAATTAGGGTTTCTACATCAGGAAATTATGTAGATGTTGGAGGTGAACAGCTTTGGATTGATGTACTGAATGCCACACTAGAACATGGCCTTGCACCTGTTTCATGGACAGACTATTTGTACCTAACTGTTGGGGGTACACTTTCTAATGCTGGAATCAGTGGACAAACCTTCCTCTATGGTCCTCAGATTAGCAATGTTCTTGAAATGGATGTTATTACAGGTACATTTTCAAATCTGTATACATTTCTTGCTATCGATGCAGACTATCGATTAAGCATTAAGAGAATCTACGACATAAGGTCCAAAAACTAGTGCTTGGGGTGACGTTGTGCTTTTGTGAACTATGGTTGCATCTCCTTAGATCACCTAGTTACCCTAGTTTTAAAGTAGATTTGTGTTCAAAATGTGATAGCACACACAAATTGACAATATATGTAAAAATATCATCATTGGATTTTGATTGGTTCTGGGCACTTGGAAGATCTTCTAGGTAGGATCGATTCACGTGATCAGAATTTTGTCGAAGGAATATGTACCTGGATGTGTTAGGTACATATTACCATAGCTCATGAGATTCATGACTATATATGTTTATTTTATGTGAATGACAGAACTTGTAGCAGAATCTCTAGCAGGTACATGCAATTTTTGCAAATATATGCGCACTTCATTAACTGATGATTTTGCCATTTGTCTCATTTAGGTAAAGGGGACTTCATGACTTGCTCCAAAGACAAGAACTCAGAATTATTTTATGCAGTTCTAGGAGGTCTGGGCCAGTTTGGCATCATAACTAGGGCAAGAATTTTCATAGCAAAAGCACCAAAAAGAGTGAGTACAATAAGATTTACACTTTTTAATAATAAAAAAAGGTTTCTGCAGTCTACCACTGAATTCTTGAATCCTAGGCTAGGGTTTACCAACCATACTAATTTGTAATTCCACAAAATTTGAATAAAATAAATAATTTTATCCTAGCACTGGCAGCGTCATTTGTGTCCATGTTACGCATTTGACGAAACAATGAATTTGACTTGTTCATGGTGAAGATCTAAAATTGACTTCAACCAAATATGAATTTATCCTGCCTAATAGTTTAAATTTCGACACAAAATGGTTTAACATACATTACAATTACCTCAATAAAAAAAAGTTTTCTTCTTAATTTTGTGCTCAAATTTGTTGTGTTGCTGATTTGTGTTCTTTGTTTTAATTAGGTGAAATGGTTGAGAATGCTATACAGTGATTTCTCAATCTTTACAAGAGATCAAGAACATCTTATCTCAATCGAAGGTCTAGAATATTTGGAGGGCTCTCTCATGATGGACTATGCTCCTGCAAATAACTGGAGATCTTCCTTTTTCTCACCTTCTAATGAATCCCAAATTACTTCTCTTTTAAAGAAACATGGGATCCTCTATTGCTTAGACATGGTCAAGTATTATGATGATGAGACCGTAAAGTCGGTCGATAAAGTACGAGTTACATGTAGTGTACTCTATTACATGTTTGGCCTCTGATATTTGACACTATTATATAAGTTTTCTTTTTCTTGCTCTTTCAGGAAGTTGAAATGCTGCAGGAGGGATTGAGTTATATTCCCGGTTTCACTTTCACTAGAGATGAAACCTATGTTGATTTCCTCAATAGAGTTCGACAAGGGGAAATATCACTAAAATCAAAAGGGTTATGGGATGTTCCTCATCCATGGCTGAATCTCTTTGTACCAAAGTCCCATATTATGGATTTCAATGCTGGTGTTTTTGTAGACATTATTCACAGACAAAAGAAGATCACAGGGCCCCTACTTGTCTACCCAACAACTAAAACTAAGTACTTATCTTGATCTAACTGTACTGCACTCAAGACTGCACACATGGGGGTGTGGGTGGTCATCACAATATTTTTATATATAAATAATCCATATATGCCTTGCCTGTTCAACATTTTTGTCTCTCTATGTGAAAATCTTGTCACTGACTCAATCTATATATATATATATATGAGAAAAAGTATTTCTAGTTTGATGGCCTAATGGTAATGTAATACTAAATTGTACAGATGGGACGATAGCATGTCTGCAGTTACACCAGATGAGGATATCTTCTACTGTGTGGGACTATTGCATTCAGGCAGTTTTGACGACTGGCAAGATTTGGACAATCAAAACAATGAAATTCTGGAATTCTGTGATAGAGCTGGAATAAAGATGAAGCAGTATCTTCCACACTACAAATCCAAGGAAGATTGGATAAAGCATTTTGGTTCGAAATGGAACACTTTTCTAGAAAGGAAAGCACAATTTGATCCAAGAATGATATTGTCACCAGGACAAAAAATCTTTAATTCTGTTTGAAACATACATGCATAAACTTCTTAGCCATTTGAGTTTCTTAGACAGTAGAACTTGCAGATTAATTAATTTTAATTTTTAATTATCTTTAAATAAAGATTGTGGTTAATCATTAATAATTATTTTACCCAGTTATTGGAATGGAGCACCTTATGTTTACATATAGTAAAATTTTGGAGATGCGTTTATAAGCTTAAGTATCGAAGTGTCTAGTTGGATAAATTAGTGTTAGTGGTAAAATTCTAGCCAAATAAAGATAAAAATAATAGACAACATGATTATTCTTCACAAACAATCAATTTGTCTAAAGTTCAAATAGATAGTTGACTTTAAAATTGGCATTCTTAAATGAGTTATGATAAAAATTAAATTTTCAGTAGACATCGATAAAAGTTGATGAAATATGTGATTGAAAAATTAGATCCTATAAAATGTGTGGTTAAAATTCACTTCCGTAGGTGAGAAATTTGGCCTTAATTGTTAACACAGTGAAAAGGCAGCTAAGTATAAATTTGTTTCTCTTTTTGACTTAGCTGTTAATTCACAGTGATTTCTTGATACAATCTGGCGTGATTGAAATTAAGAGGTTAACTATTGATGCCTTGATTGTTCACAAGATGAAAAGGCGACAAAGCACAAATTTGTCTCTCTTTTTTAGGCAAAAGGGTTGAAACTTATGATGAGTATTTAAATAAGTTAAAAGTAATAATATTTGATTACAACAAATCTAATCATTGTGCCGGTTGATGAACTGTATGGGGCGGCTAAAAGTGATTGTGTGTTCGTGCGGTACAACATTAATTAATTGATTATTTTATATTTTAAGAAAAATTAAAAGTGTGTAATGACAAAATAACTGAGTGTTGAAAGTATTTGTTTAGGACAGATTTCAAATACATTTATAGCATATCTTTAGGGCAATCGATCGGCCAGTCAAGAAAAATTTCAAGGATAAATTTTCATCGAATAATTATCAAAACGTACTCTCCCTCTTTCTTTCCTGCTCTCATATTTTTTAACAGAAGCAAATCACACTCACCTCCGTATCCTCCACTAATAGATGCCCCATCACGTGCTTAGATTAACTTTTATATGCCCGTAATTATTTATTAAAGTTTAGGATAAAATTGCTCCTAGATTTCTAGAAGCTGAGAAGCAACACCCCACCCCATGCAAACCAATCCTTCATATGACTGTATAATAAATATATACTTTGTCTGCAAAGCATCTTCCTATTGCACTGCATCTATATTCCTCACCAGTTGCACACGATCGTCATCATATGTTGTATAAATCCGCTTCCATTTTCAACAAAAAAATCCCACAGCATCTCGCCACTATTTTGAACAAGTAATTACTTTCTGAAAGCAGAATATATGTAAAGTTTGCTGTCTCTGATTAACTGTACTTCATCTTTCCTTTCTTAAAATTTTTGTATGGTCCTGATTTCTTTCCATGAGCAGATCCTGTGCATTAGATTTGATGATGGGAGTGGTGAACTGTTTCTTGGATCTTGTGGGCTACCCCTCATGGCCCTTATAAAGATTTACAGTATCTAATCATACTGCCCTCCACCACCACTTGATCATATCCTTTTTGCACTGCTATTTGTCTATCAGATTCTTTCATATTTGATACACGAAATTCAATATATACGGTACACACACAAGTTATGTCAATATCAATATCAGTTCTTCGTGATCCAGTTCCTTAGCATATACGTATTCGATATATATTCCATGTATATATTTATACAAAATTCTGTATGAATTCAATATTCAAGATGAATGATGTCTCCAAAAATTAGTCTCGGCACAAAACTCTATAGTAACTACATATTTTGCAGCTATCATAGGCCGTGTTATTTTGGTCCATGTCTCCCTTTCTTGACATGTTTTATCGTGGTCACAACGTTCTTATGAATGGGAA